AAATTATTTTATTTTCGCTGTGCATGTTAAGTAAATTCCCAACAGAAAGAACCACAAATCAAGTAGTTAACCAAAGACGAGTAATTGGTTCATCAGTTCTTCCTCCTAATTATGATTTTGACTTATAATGCCCATTGTTCACCTTTAGCTAGAAGTAAGTAGAACTTTGGAAGTCAAAATTATGGATGAGGAAGATTAATTTTACCGTAATTCTCTTTCATTACATCTTGTTCAAATTAGTTGAACTAAACAGGAGGCATACCATGAAGTATTGCACAAGCAATCAAGAACGCCCAGTAACGGCCAAGATGAGCATCTGCAACATATGCACCCAAGATAGGAGTCATCCAAATAGTACCAACCCAATATGTGAGATTATTCGAGGCCGCGACTGTGCCTTGATGAAACTTCCGGGTCAAATATAGTACCAGATTTGCTGATATACCACAATACGCCATTCTTTAGAAAATCTCACAGATTGCACCATGGTTGAATCACATGCACTCGAGTTATCAACAAGTGTTGTAAAAAGCAAGGACAATACAAGTATTCTCTAAAATTTTATGTATGTTCATATCTGGTATGCAGTTCTAGATAAAACTCGACAATATAAATATCAAGAATTAAATTTCTGCTTTTCTTGACACCATCCAATACTATTAATCTATACTAACGAAGAAAGAATGGCAGAGAGGCAAGTACCAACAATGAAGGAACATGCAGTCCATCCACCTCTCTTAGATCTAAGAACTAGGTTCCCTTGAAGATCCACAGTTCCATCCTGTGTGTATTCACTCAGCCCATTTTTTACCGCGGCAATGCCTGCAGCTGACTCTCTTGAATTTTTAGCGGGACAAAAATAAAAACAATAATTTCAGTACACAATAATGAGCATTTGCAAGTGTTCAGCAAAGAAACATGCTTTATATAGACATCACGAAGCCTTTGGATTATTAGGATAAGAGGTTGTCATGCTGATATACACGTTCACAACGTCTAACTCTTACGCAAGTTAAAATAATGTGATATTCGACATATATCTCATATCCGTGATGGATATGATAAAAAGTTCTCACTGCTGACGTGACAAGATAATCTTACTTGTGGTTTTCTGTAACGATCATACATTCAGAGAACCATACTTTACACTGCATTACAATTTGGTACCACAAAAGCAATGGTCTTTATTTTGGAATAAGTATTCAAATACCTTTCTTTGCTCCATCTTTAACTTACCCAATTCAATGGAAGATATTTCATCTTTTGGATGAAGACTTCCTAGAATTGCTCAGTCGCACGAGGATAACTGATTTGCCTAACCGCGGCAGATTTAGCATACTGGTGGATGGTCCGGTTTCGAGAACAATTGGAATATTATAAATGGAATCATTGGTTTCAAATATGATTAGAAACTGAATTGAAAATGAACCATTTGATTGTGACTTGGTTCATGAAAATCGACAAAAGATAAAGAAATTTAAATAACATTTTTATCACAAAAGAAAGAGCACAAAAATTTTAGGACCATTTAGGCATTATTTGTTGGGAATTAAAATCAAACTTTTAGTAGATTTGATAAAAATTATTGAAATATGTGGTTGAAAAGTTATAGGTCATATACAATATCTATAATATATTAAGACCTTGTTTGACACCCATTTTTGAGAAGAATTTGATTTGGAATAGTGATTGATGGAAGAATGTATGATTAAAAAGTAAGGAAAATTTTTGGATTTATGTGTAATATTATTTTATTGATAGAATGTGTGGTTGAAATGAAGAAAGAGAAAAAAATGGATGTCAAACAAGGGCTTTATTCCCATATCATCCTCCAAATCCAGCTTCTTCCCATTCTTTCNTTCTGTACAACATTGAGTGCTCGTTTAGCCCCGTTTTTATTCTGTATGATGCATTTTGTAACATTCCATGTGTTCCATTCACATATGCTGAGGGTCCTTATTTTCTTGTCTCAATTAAAATAGTCTTCTTTCTTTATTAACAATATATTTTGCTTTGTTCATTTACTAATATACCATTTTACTACTTTTAATAATAATTTACTACTAGTTATTGATAATTAAATGATGGTAAATTAAGAAATTTTTTGGAAAAAATTATTTTTCCAATAACATTAAATAAGATTTCTTAATCCGTGTGAAAAATAAAACAAGTCTATATAAATGGGACGGAGGGAGTAAATGATTTAACATTCATTGTCACGTATATATTTCATAATAGTAATTCTAAATTAATAAACATTCACACATATTTAGATCTCACTTTTACGGCATTTATAAAACATTTCATAATAACGTGCAACGCACGTTCAACATTGACTAATGTGTTTAAAATTGATTGTTAACTTTTACTTAGATTAAAATCACTACCAAATAGGGATTCATATAAAATCATATTTACATCTCCAAAACAAAAATTATCAATTAATAATATCAAATCCGTTGTGAAATTAAAAGAAGAAGAAAGAAAAATAAGAGTAAAGCGATTGACCCATATATTTATGGTTTCAATGAGACTTATAAATTGATCAAGTTACAAACTTTTAGAGTAAGTAAGATTTATCTAAGTATTCTCAAAAGACTTAACAGTCATTAATAGTTATCTCATAATTTTATAACATTGTTCATTTGATTACTCTTTGAACAAAAACTCTTTCGTTAAAATTGTTAAAATTTTAGAGTATCATGAAACAATGCTACCAAATTAAAACATTGTCATAGAAGTCTAGTAGGACAAAATCTGGATGAAGAGAAAAGAGTGTTGCTACTCCATTTGGTGATATCACTACAGATTATTGAGTCGATGCATTTTAGTCCCCGAGTACCAATTTCTTGAATGTAGATAACGGCAATACTTCTATAAATAAGTTAGACACATTATCACTTGAAAAAATTGTTAAATATCAATGTCTGCTATTCTTCTTAAGCTCATGAATATAAAAGAATTTTGAAGAAATATGTTTTCTCGTCTCCTATGATGTTGCTTCTTTTGAGTTGTGCAACACAAGTTGCAATATGTTGCCATCAAAGTTTGCTTTACAAATCTTCAATATATAGTCGTTCCTTCATGTATAAATACATATTATTTACAATGTTGTTTTATATAAATAAGAGAAACCTAATATGCATATCCTTATTTTTGTGAATTAAACAATCTCATGTCCACAATACCCCTTAGACAGTGTCCTAAAAATCCAGCCTATGCGGTACCTAGGTGCTGCCTAGACACGAGGCACGAAATATCACGCTTTGACAATGAGCGCATATTGGCGCTTTATTAATACTTATTTTTTTAAAGCCTTTTTATTTGACTTTAGTTTCAAATTTTAAATGATTTTATCTGTCCAAAAATAAAAAATGAAACACGTTAGAAAATTTCAAATATAAGTCATCTAGTTGGAAGTTGAAACTATAAAAAATAGTCTAACGTTTGCATTTTGAAAAATTAAAAATTATATAGTTGACTAATTATAGAAATTATTAAGAAAATATAGTATTTTATAATTTTATCTGTTGGGTATGTATTTTTTTAATTATTAAATGATTTTGAAAATGATTTTAAAAATAAGAAAATATTTTTTATGTTTAGGCTCGTAAGGCTTGAAACTTGACTTTCAAGACTAGCCACACTTTACACTTTTTAAAACATTGCTCTTAGGTAATAATGAATGTATTTTAACACCACTTCAATGTCTTCTAATAGTTGGTGTATAGCTATATCTGATTGAGTTCAGTTTACAAAATAAGTTAAAACGCCTATAGCACTTGAGTATGTAACTTTAGAACCCAAGATCCGTTTTCCCATCTTCAAGTGGGTGAAATTTATAGTTATCACATCGCGATCAAATGAGCATAGGTGAAGCCGGCGATGTACTTTATTCATATAAAAACATTTTAATACTATTTTAGTATATGAAAATTGATGAACAAATAATCTTTCTTGAAAATATTCAATTTTCAATCCAAGATAAAAATCGATTTATATAAAATCTTTCATCTTAAATTCATTTTTCAAGTAATTGACAATTTTGTTGAGCGTTTCACGAGTTCCTATTCAATAAATCATTAGAATAAACTATATCAAATATTTATTTTATTTTATTTTTTTACGAAAACACATGGACAAATATCTTCGGCTTTATAATCATCTTACAATAAATTTTCTGCAAGGAAATTATCCAAATTCACATTGTTTTTATCCGTATAATGATCTTGTAGTTTGCCTTATGTTTATAAACTATAAATTGCCTCATGTTTTAGTATGTTTTTATCCCTACAAATTATGTTCGGAAAATATTTGTTGTACATAACTATTTACATAATGTTTTACATAAAGATGAGGTGTCGAAATGGAAATAGTGAAGTTTACTTATGAGATTTTGATCTAATTAAATATCGTCACACCATCTGTTGGTAAACCATTAAATAAGTTGTTATATACATGTAACACAACCGCTTATATTTTTATACTTCTGACTTATGTTTGCCTCGTGTTTATAAATTATTTATAAACATTAAAGTCATTTTTTATTTACACATCTCGAAAGAACCATAAGTACTATCAACTTATTCACCCTTCATTTATATTTACTTATAATTTAATCCATTTTTAAATGTCCAATTTTAGCTATTTTTGCAGTATGGTGTGTTTGATGGATATTATTGAAGAAATAATGTATTTTAAATAGTAATATGATGAGAAATATGTGGTTAAAAAATAAGGAAAGTTATTGATGTGATGGAAAATATTATTTTATTGAAAAATGTGTGGTTGAAATTGAGTTATAAAATAATGTATTTTGAAATAATGTGTATCAAACATGGACATAATATACATATTTTAATATTACAATTTTTTTTCTTGCACTCTAATAATACCACCCAAAAATGTTGGGCCATATATTTACAATAATATTATAAATTAATTTATATACTCATATCCCACCCCCATCCAAATCCATCTCCCTTCTTTCTTCTCTTCGTTCTTCCTCTCCATCTCTCTCTACCCTCTTCCTTACACATGGACCACTGCCATCGCTGTGGACCACCTCTAAGAGTCATTGCGCAATGACATCACCTCTGCCCAGAGAAGTCGTTTGTAGTAGCGATGACATTGCTGCGTGCGGCTTTACACAATGTCGTTGCAACGACTGCGACTCACAGCGGAGTGGCGCTCAGATCTGTTTGTTTTTTTTGGCGATCTGTTGTCACTCAGATCTATGCAGGTACGCTCGAATCTATTGAGTTTTGTTGGTGATCTCAGGGCATTCGCAAAACTGCAGCAAAGAACAATTCTGAATGGTCATATATAAATCAATTAAGGTTTATTTATTTTTTAAGTAAATAAATGTCTCTTAACACGGAAAAATAAAGGTAATTATATTAATATCATAATATTTATTTCCTGCACTGTATTTTAATTGCAATAAAAAGTTTCAAAATTTGTTCATTTCAACACTTGTGTCATCAACTTTTATATCTTATTTAATCCTTATACTTTAATTAATTAGTACATCTTGTCTCTGACGACGATTTCGGACCAAATATCCTTCTAACATGCATTGAAAGTTTGTTGTTTATTTCACTTATTCAAAAATATGAGAGACACGTAAGTATTTTACGCTCTCCTTGGGAACTTTTGGGACAGAAACCTTTATTAATATTAGATAAGATGTAAACATTTATAGAGGGTTGATGGTAAGATTTGACAAAAAAATTGGGTACATTAGTGCGAAAATGATTAACGGTAAAGGACATTCATTACAATAAAAATATGATGTAGCTACAAAATTATGGTGTGAATATAAGTAGCCAAATGTAAAGGCCTTTTAAATGAGTTTTCTTAATAATTATTGAGACCTCCAAACAAGAAGCCATTTCTTTTTCCCTTAATCAAGTATAGACAATGCCATTTCCTCAAGTAGAAATGAAATAATTTAAGAGCACTTCACATAGGTTTCATTTTCTTAGTATATTTTGTAAGATTGATAAATAGTTCTCACTTATCAAGCACTAGTTGAATTTTAGCAAAATAAAATAAAACCCAAACTCCTTTAAAAAAATAACAAAGAGAGGCATAATGTTAATTCACCTAATGTGGAATACAATAATTTCATTTTTCAAGTTGTTGTTTCTTGATCACTTATCCTATGCTTCGATGCTGACAATTCTTCCCCTAGCACTCTCATTGAATCAGAGACTTCTGCCTTGTATACATAAAACTTGATCATAACCAAAAAGAAAATGAAGTTCAAACTATTCAAGATGGCAAAGAATGCGTAGTAATAATCAAAGTGAGACGCGTTAAGGTTGTTCTGAATCCATCCGCGATGTCCATTCTCTTTTGTGACACGTGACACTGTTGAAAGAAGAAAGCTGCTTATAAAATTCCCTGCTCCAAGACTTGTCATCGAGTAAGATGTCCCAAGACTCTTCATGCTTTCAGGTGCTTGATCATAGAAAAACTCGATTTTCGCTACTTCAAGAAATGCATCAGCAGTTCCCATAAGTAGAAACTGA